ATCGTTTGGAATACTGTGTTGATTAGTTGCAATGTGTGAGTCCATTTCAATGTTTGATCCACTATCCTACTTTTTACTAAAGGTGAATTTAAAGGTTAGAACAGAGATTTCATACCTTTTTGGTATTACTCCTGACAATGAGAGTCCACCAACAATATCGGAAACTTTGTAAATCTTCATCGTGTGGGGTCCAAAGTGGATGAATTGTACTGATGAGACATTAGGCACATTGGTTTTGTTCAAATGACATTGAAATAGAAAACAGATGGAAAAGAAACTCATTATTAGTTAATGATGTGCACACCAGCACCCGGTGTCCATCTCTCCCATGGCCATTTTAGTACTTTTGATTCCACCAGCATGTCCCAGTCCTTGTTTTATGTCATGTGCATTCAGCAAGTTATTTCCACTGGTTATCCATGAACGCATTCAATCCTTAGCTACTTCACAAACTCGGCCACATATGGGCGTGTTCAACCGACATGAAGCCCCATTAATATTTCTTTTTGATACATCTCTATTGTAAGGATAAAACACACTATTATTCGGGTTATATGAGATTCTCTCTCATATGACCCGGACAATAGTGGGTTTTATCCTTACAATAAGGCTGTATCAAAAGAAATATTAATGGGATTTCATGTCGGTTGGACACGCTCAATATATCTTTACCTTTTTGCATCTCGCTATAATCCTTCGTCAATAAATCGATACCAACTTACACAATATAGCACATTAATTATGTAAAGGACAATAGTGTAACAGAACTCACTTTCTTGCAAATCACTTTTTCAGCTTCAGGAGTTGCATGTGAGGAGAAATTGCTTGCGTCGTGTGCCCATTTATGCGATTTTTTGGTATGTGGATAATCAACTCTAAACTGCTTTAAAGTGACTTCATCGGCACTTACGAGGGGAGGCAACGAACTGATAAATTGCTTTTAAAGTTTAGTGTTGCCAATTTGTAGAGCTTGTTGAGTTATTAACTGATATCATAATCATTTGGGCCAACAACACGTTTAAGAGTAAATCTATATATCAGCTTGTACGCGTAACCTCAATGATCGGGAGTTCGAATTCAATATTCTAAGAAATCACTATTGCCATCTTGTAGAGCATAGTCGAAAGTGATGAAAACATATTTTATATCATTAATAAGCAGTTCATATCGCGTTTGAAAACTTGTAACAAAGATATCACTAGCAGATGACCAAAACTCATCTATCTGGACTATCAATCAATTGAACCCATATATTGATGTCATCTTGATATATGGAGAGTTGATTAAGACTAATTAAGTCCATGTTATTAGAAGTATCTATTTTCTTAATCATTACTTTTTATATCTCNATTAGTTGCAATGCGTGAGTCCATTTCAATGTTTGATCCACTATCCTACTTTTTACTAAAGGTGAATTTAAAGGTTAGAACAGAGACTTCATACCTTTTTGGTATTACTCCTGACAATGAGAGTCCACCAACAATATCGGAAACTTTGTAAATCTTCATGGGGTGGAGTCCGAAGCGGATAAATTGTACTGATGAGACATTAGGCACATTGGTTTTGTTCAAATGACATTGAAATAGAAAACAGATGGAAAAGAAACCCATTATTAGTTAATGATGTGCATACCAACATCCGGTATACATCTCTGCCATGGCCATTTTAGTACTTTTGATTCCACCAGCATGTTCCAGTCCTTGTTTTATGTCATGTGCATTCAGCAAGTTATTTCCGCTGGTTATCCATGAACGAATTCAATCCTTAGCTACTTCACAAACTCGGTCACATATGAGCGTGTTCAACCGACATGAAGCCCCATTAATATTTATTTTGATACAGCTCTATTGTAAAGATAAAACACACTATTATTCGGGTCATATGAGATCTCTCATATGACCCGGACAATAGTGTATTTTATCCTTACAACAGGGCTGTATCAAAAGAAATATTAATGGGACTTCATGTCGGTTAGACACGCTCAATATATCTTTACCTTTTTGCATCTCACTATAATCCTTCGTCAATAAATCGATACCAACTTACACAATATGGCACATTAGTTATGTAAAGGACAATAGTGTAGCAGAAACTGACTTTCTTACAAATCGCTTTTTCAGCTTCAGGAGTTGCATGTGAGGAGAAATTGCCTGCGTCGTCTGCCCATTTATGCAACTTTTTCATATGTAGATAATCAACTCTAAACTGCTTTAAAGTGACTTTACCGACACTTACGAGGGAAAGCAACGAACTGATAAATCGCTTTTAAAGTTTAGTGTTGCCAATTTGTAGAGCTTGTTGAGTTATTAACTGATATCATAATCATTTGGGCCAACAATACGTTTAAGAGTAAATCTATGCATTAGCTTCTACGCGTAACGCGTAACCTCAATGACCAAGAGTTCGAATTCAATATTCTAAGAAATCATTATTGCCATCTTGTAGAGCATAGTCGAAAGTGATGAAAACATATTTTATATCATTAATAAGCAGTTTATGTCGCGTTTGAAAACTTGTAACAAAGATATCACTAGCAGATGACCAAAACTCATCTATCTGGACTATCAATCAATTGAACCCATATATTGATGTCATCTTGATATATGGAGAGTTGATTAAGACTAATTAAGTCCATGTTATTAGAAGTATCTATTTTCTTAATCATTACTTTTTATATCTCATCCTTGCTTTTAGCCACTTAACCGAAAACTACCATATTTACAACGTCATCGCGTAACGAAGACATGAGTATTGTTTTTGCCTACCTATTGATAACCATTATTTTTTTTTATACAAACTATATATCTAAAGCTAACTTTTTACGGGCTATCTAATGCATATATTTTTTCTTGGACAAAGTTCCGTTTTATAATAGTTTTACGTAACGCGATGACGTTTTTTTTTTCAACTTTTTCTTATGTTTTTCTCATTTAAAAAAGAGCATTTGCAAGTAGAGATTTGCATTCAAAGATCACTATAAGTCATCNGATTAACAAGTAGTACGACTTGCCCACGCAACACGATACTTCGCTGATCAAGTTTCGAAAAAAATTTTTTTTTCGAGTTAGACAGATCTGTCGACAAAATGGTGAATTTAGTTTTGACCTTCGTAGTTAACGACAACTTGTAGACTCTTATATAGTTTCGAACTTATCGTTCAGTTTATGAGCTCTTATGTCGATGTATCAATCTCATTCTTGCCTAGAACGATTAGCTCCACAGCAAAGACTAACACTTTTAAAAAACAAAACATTCTGAGCATGTTAAATGCCTTAAAACTGATCGATAAAAAAACTGTGTCGCAGTGTTATATTTACTTTTTTACATTTTTCGTCTGAGCGAAACATGCTTTAGAGAAGATCTTTTTTATTTTCCAAAAGCCTGTTCAATATTCTACAAGACTGGTTCTATGAACATTTCATTTGGGCAAATTATTTAGCAAGAAATCAGGATTTTCACGGCGTCACTGGAGAAAAAGGGACTTTTTATGTCACAGCATTACATGATAATAAAACCTTTCTAGCCGCTCAAGACTTCAGCCAAAAAAAGACCATTCTTATAGGATAAATTGAGTTTGATAAGCTGCATGAAATGGCGTCTGAATAAACTTTCTGAGATAATTCAAGAAGAATATATCAAAAATGTCACAACGTTATGTTTGGACAAGACGAGTTATTTATCGATCATAAGAGAATTGTTGTTGTAATTTTAATGTTAATAAAATCTAAATGAAAAAAAAAATTAGCAGAGATAATAGAAATATTCGATCTTTGATCATACATACCATATCTTCACTAAATATTTCACTAAATGCTCGATACTTATTTTTGACGATAACTATCATTCGATCGAATTGCAAAGATGATGAATAGAAAATCAATATATTTTCCTATTTATCGGACCTAGATAGTTTTTGATGGATAACACGACGATCATATTCCTATCTTTGTATCTCAAATTCACTACGTCGAAATAAAAGAAAAATATGAATATTTAGGCGGACATCTTACCTATAAATATATAGTTTACTGTTGATAGTAGTACATACCGATGATTTTCACGATTAAGAGAGTTGTGGTGTGCGTTCATTTATTCTTCTTTATATTTCTCGTTTATGATGCACAGATGATCCTCAGTTACAATTTTTTTTAACTTTATTAACACCGCTATTCGTATTAGATGTGTCTATAACAGCCTCTTTCAACGCATCATTATTTCGCTTTGATAGCAGTTATGAAGGTACTATTCTTGGAAACCCTTATTGGGTTTCCAAATTTGTTACTATCGGAAACCTTTTAAGGATTTCCGAACAAGGGTTTTCAAGGTCTAAGAAATCCTACATTAGATAATTTCATCAGTGATACAAACCTAGCTTCGGAGACTGATTAACAGTTTTCGAGCAGATCAAAAATTATATTCATTTCGTTCCAGTACAATTTCTGTTGTACTATACAAGTCGCAGAAAGCCCATGAATCTTCGAAAAGCCTGTCCAATTTTCTTTGCACCAGCACTGCCGACATCAATAAGAATCACGTACCAATAATATTGATTAATATTGATGTTAATCTAAATAAATCATAAAAGAACAATTAAATTTTTTTATAAGAACTACTTACCATCAAATTGTTGTTGATGTAAATTTCCAACATATGTGTGACTTTAAGCAAATAGTGTATTGGTATCGAATGTTCTAAATCTTTTTTCAAATCAAGTATTTATTAAAGAAAAAGAATATGAAAAATGTTTTTCATTACGTTAAAATAAGAAAGTTCACGGCGAAATGTATGCAATACAGTAATAAAATTCAACTCTCTGAATGAATCCATAATGAGCGAGAATAGCTGAGAAGAAAAAAGAAATTACAATCTTTTTAAAAAGAAAAATAATGAAAAGCAATAATCTGGTAAGATTGTCTAGTAGATCTAGTTGTCTTTTTTGTTGATGGAGTATTTTCTTCACCAGTATTTTCCGGATCAATTAATTGATTTGCTTTTCTTTTCTAAGCATTTTGACGAATAACAGGATGAGAGTAAGGGATTGAAATTGAAGATTCATTACGTATAACTTCATTATTTTTTCCTTCAGTAATAACGGTTAAATCATGGTCACTATTTTCAGATACATATAAATCTAATGTATTGCTATTTGTTGTTTCTTCAAGTTGATTAACAAATGATGAAAGTTTATCTTGAAGTTTAATATTGTATACTTTACAATATCTTGAAATACTATTTGATTGTTGTTGTTTCTCATTTAAGAAATCAAACTCTTTACACAAATACAAAAAAGAAAGAATTATTGTTTAGATGGAATTCGAACAATAATACCCTTCTCAAGCATTTCACTCGACGTGAATTTTTTCCTTGTAATTTATGCCAATTAATTCCATAATTTCTGCGAAGATGTTAAGTACCACAACTTTCCAGTGGCAGAAACATCAATCATTGTTATTTTGACTGATCTTTGAAAAACAAAACAATAAAATTTTATCCAAATTCTATTAAATTCCATTAAAAATTTATAATCAAACATATTGCATTAAAGCTCGGAATGCTTTCAATTTTCTAAGAATTTCTGAAGCAAAGAACAGAAACATGATCCGAAAATGAACTTAGAACACCAATTTTGTTCATTCGTAATATTTATCAACTCTAAAACATTTTTTAGAAACTCGTTGTGTAGGTCTTCAAGCTCTAGAAAGTGTCAGCTAGTGAAGTAAAATTGGAAGTTTGATTTCGATTTTCTACTAAATCTTTCCAAGTTCTAGAAAGCTCGAAAACCGAAAAAGTATTCTCGGATACCTATTCGGATACCCAAGCAGCTTTTAGGAGAGAACCGGTTCCCTAAAATACCATATCGGTTTCCGAAAATACTAATTAGGTTTCGGATAAGGGTAAAAAGATATTCTAGAATACCCTACGGGAGTCGAAATCGGTACTCTCAAAAACCGAAAGGGTTTCTGAGCTGATTTGAGTTGTCAAGAACACGAATTTTTTATTACAGTGCACGTTGAGCGTATGTATTACGACTCTTTTTTTTATAAGAGTAATAATAAACGACCCACGAACAGAATTAGCTGAACATTTTATAATGAGCTTATGAAGTAGTAGATAGATGAGTTTAACAAAACTACTGGGATTCTATGTTCTTGTCAATGATTTCGACAATAATTTCTTGTTTGATGGTCACGTCGTATTTTTCACTCAACTTTCGAAAGCAATATTTGATTTGATCTTTTCTAGGGTAATCCAACGTTTGAAAGAGCTTGACTCCATCACGGTCCCTTTGTGTGCGCATTTGTTGTTAAATTTTTCCAGGCATAATCCTCGAGTTTTTGTATATCAGATCGAACTTTCTGAGTTTGCATGTTCGTAACATCTAGTCAGAAGATGAGAAGAACTCATAATGAGAGGCCATGAGTAGAAGTATTCTGATGTTGAAGAATAGTTTTAGCCTTTCTATGGAATTGTGTTGATCTCGATGGTAAGATCTCGGTTAAATGAATTTGAGTGATGTCATCTGCTGTTTGAGAAGTATCGTTTGGAATACTGTGTTGATTAGTTGCAATGTGTGAGTCCATTTCAATGTTTGATCCACTATCCTACTTTTTACTAAAGGTGAATTTAAAGGTTAGAACAGAGACTTCATACCTTTTTGGTATTACTCCTGACAATGAGAGTCCACCAACAATATCGGAAACTTTGTAAATCTTCATGGTGTGGAGTCCAAAGCGGATGAATTGTACTGATGAGACATTAGGCACATTGGTTTTGTTCAAATGACATTGAAATAGAAAACAGATGGAAAAGAAACTCATTATTAGTTAATGATGTGCATACCAGCATCCGGTATATATCTCTGCCATGGCCATTTTAGTACTTTTGATTCCACCAGCATGTTTCAGTGGCTTGTTTTATGTCATGTACATTCAGCAAGTTATTTTCACTGGTTATCCATGAACGCATTCAATCCTTAGCTACTCCACAAACTCGGTCACATATGGGCGTGTTCAAACGACATGAAGCCCCATTAATATTTCTTTTTGATACATCTCTATTGTAAGGATAAAACACACTATTATTCGGGTCATATTAGATTCTCTCTCATATGACCCGGACAATAGTGGGTTTTATCCTTACAATAGAGCTGTATCAAAAATAAATATTAATGGGACTTCATGTCGATTGGACACGTCCAATATATCTTTACCTTTTTGCATCTCACTATAATCCTTAGTCAATAAATCGATACCAACTTACACAATATAGCACATTAGTTATGTAAATGACAATAGTGTAACAGAAACTCACTTTCTTACAAATCACTTTTTCAGCTTCAGGAGTTGCATGTGAGGAGAAATTACCTGCGTCGTCTGCCAATTTATGCAATTTTTTTATATGTAGATAATCAACTCTAAACTGCTTTAAAGTGACTTCACCGGCACTTACGAGGGAAGGCAACGAACTGATAAATTGCTTTTAAAGTTTAGTGTTGCCAATTTGTAGAGCTTGTTGAGTTATTAACTGATATCATAATCATTTGGGCCAACAATACGTTTAAGAGTAAATCTATATATCAGCTTGTACGCGTAATGCGTAACCTCAATGACCAAGAGTTCTAATTCAATATTCTAAGAAATCATTATTGCCATCTTGTAGAGCATAGTCGAAAGTGATGAAAACATATTCTATATCATTAATAAGTAGTTCATATCGCGTTTGAAAACTTGTAACAAAGAGATCACTAGCAGATGACTAAAACTCATCTATCTGGACTATCAATCAATTGAACCCATATATTGATATCATCTTGATATATGGAGAGTTGAGTAAGACTAATTAAGTCCATGTTATTAGAAGTATCTATTTGCTTAATCATTACTTTTTATATCTCATCCTTGCTTTTAGCCACTTTACCGAAAACTACCATATTTACAACGTCATCGCGTAACGAAAACATGAGTATTGTTTTTGCCTACCTATTGATAACCATTATTTTTTTTTATACAAACTATATATCTAAAGCTAACTTTTTACGGGCTATCTAATGCATATTTTTTTTTGGACAAAGTTCCGCTTTATAATAGTTTTACGTAACGCGATGACGTTTTTTTTTTCAACTTTTTCTTATGTTTTTCTCATTTAAAAAAGAGCATTTGCAAGTAGAGATTTGCATTCAAAGATCACTATAAGTCATCAATATTAGATTCTGTAACTGATTATTGATAAATTAATTGTCATGAGCAGATAATTGATTGTCCTACATTGATAATAACGGTTCAAATTAAACCACCAATCTAATTTGACTATAGCTTCAATTAAGCTAATAACGTTAGATTCTAATAATAATTTCAACCTTATACCTTGTAAAACAGTATCGAAGCATTATTTTCGAGAAATTTCTAGCAGGTTTTTGAATTTTTTACTGAACCAATGGCTAAATCAAATGCTGAAAGACAAAAACTCTATCCTATAAATTTATCAAAAAATAAATCAAAATTTGAACAAATGAGACAAAAGTCTCGTATTCGTGATAATACAAGACGCCAGAATTTAAAAGGTGATTCATTAGAACGATTACGTATTCGACAAAAACAAGCTTCAAAATAATATCGTGATAAAAAAAAAAGTTAGAACGTTCAAATGGTAAACAATTCTCGTCATATAAAAATCGTCTATCTTTTGGCAAAGCAGTTAAAAGGTGTTATTCAATCATCACCACAAGATACAGATAAACGTGTTACTGTGGCTCGTCATATTGCACAAGAACTTAATGTTATTTCAAAAACAATTACTCAACATCAACGTCAACAACGTTTGTTACCAATCGAATTGCAAGAATTAATTATTAAATTTTATAATCAAGACGATATTAGTTATCAGTTGGCTGGTAAACGTGATTGTATTACGTTTAAAGATAATGATGGTACTTCAACAACATTACAAAAAAAGAATTCTGTTATATAGAGTTCGTGAAAAATTTTAATTATTTTTAACTAAGTATGTGGATACAAATATTAATTTGTCATTAACTTCATTTAATGATTTAAGACCAATGAACATACTAGTACAATCTTATACGCCTGAGCGTAGTTGTTTATGTATGTACCATGAAAATATGAATTTATTATTAAAACCATTATCAAAATATATTCGTTGTCCTGGTTGACATTCACTTCAATAATTTTCGGCAATGCTTGTTTNGAGTCCATTTCAATGTTTGATCCACTATCCTACTTTTTACTAAAGGTGAATTTAAAGGTTAGAACAGAGACTTCATACCTTTTTGGTATTACTCCTGACAATGAGAGTCTACCAACAATATCGGAAACTTTGTAAATCTTCATGGTGTGAAGTCCAAAGCGGATGAATTATACTGATGAGACATTAGGCACATTGGTTTTGTTCAAATGACATTGAAATAGAAAACAGATGGAAAAGAAACTCATTATTAGTTAATAATGTGCATACCAGCATCCGGTATATATCTCTGCCATGGCCATTTTAGTACTTTTGATTCCACCAGCATGTTCCAGTCCTTGTTTTATGTCATGTACATTCAGTAAGTTATTTCCACTGGTTATCCATGAACGCATTCAATCCTTAGCTACTCCACAAACTCGGTCATATATGAGCGTGTTCAACCGACATGAAGCCCCATTAATATTTCTTTTTGATACAGCTCTATTGTAAGGATAAAACCCACTATTGTCCGGGTCATATGAGAGAGAATCTCATATGACCCGAATAATAGTGTGTTTTATCCTTACAATAGAGCTGTATCAAAAAGAAATATTAATGGGACTTCATGCCGATTGGACACGTCCAATATATCTTTACCTTTTTGCATCTCACTATAATCCTTAGTCAATAAATCGATACCAACTTACACAATATGGCACATTAGTTATGTAAAGGACAATAGTGTAACAGAAACTCACTTTCTTACAAATCACTTTTTCAGCTTCAGGAGTTGCATGTGAGGAGAAATTGCCTGCGTCGTCTGCCAATTTATGCAATTTTTTGGTATGTGGATAAACAACTCTAAACTGCTTTAAAGTGACTTCGCCGGCACTTATGAGGAAAGGCATCGAACTGATAAACTGCTTTTAAAGTTTAGCGTTGCGAATTTGTAGAGCTTGTTGAGTTATTAACTGATATCATAATCATTTGGGCCAACAATATGTTTAAGAGTAAATCTATATATTAGCTTGTACGCGTAACGCGTAACCTCAATGATCGGGAGTTCGAATTCAATATCCTAAGAAATCATTATTGCCATCTTGTAGATCAAAGTTGAAAGTGTATGAAAACATCTTTTATATCATTAATAAGCGGTTCATATCGCGTTTGAAAACTTGTAACAAAGATATTACTAACAGATGACCAAAACTCATCTATCTGGACTATCAATCAATTGAACCCATATATTGATGTGATCTTGATATATGCAGAGTTAATTAAGACTAATTAAGTCTATGTTATTAGAAATATCTTTTTGCTTAATCATTACTTTTTATATCTCATCCTTGCTTTTAGCCACCTAACCGAAAACTACCATATTTACAACGTCATCGCGTAACGAAAACATGAGTATTGTTTTTGCCTACCTATTGATAACCATTATTTTTTTTATACAAACTATATATCTAAAGCTAAATTTTTACGGGCTATCTAATGCATATATTTTTGTTTGGACAAAGTTCCGTTTTATAATAGTTTTACGTAACGCGATGACGTTTTTTTTCAACTTTTTCTTATGTTTTTCTCGTTTAAAAAAGAGCATTTGCAAGTAGAGATTTGCATTCAAAGATCACTATAAGTCATCAATATTTGATTCTGTAACTGATTATTGATAAATTAATTGTCATAAACAGATAATTGATTAGCCTACATTGATAATAACTGTTCAAATTAAACCACCAATTTAATTTGACTATAGCTTTAATTAAGCTAATGAAGTTTGATTCTAATAATAATTTCAACCTTATACCTTGTAAAACAGTATCGAAGCGTTATTTTTGAGAGATTTCTAGCAGGTTTTTGAATTTTTTACTGAACCAATGACTAAATCAAATGCTGAAAGACAAAAACTCTATCCTATAAATTTATCATAAAATAAATCAAAATTTGAACAAATGAGACAAAAGTCTCGTATTCGTGATAATACAAGATGCCAGAATTTAAAAGGTAATTCATTAGAACGATTACGTATTCGACAAAAACAAGCTTCAAAATAATATCGTGATAAAAAAAGTTAGAACGTTCAAATGGTAAACAATTCTCGTCATATAAAAATCGTCAATCTTTTGGCAAAGCAGTTAAACGTGTTATTCAATCATTATCAGAAGATACAGATAAACATGTTACTCTGGTTCGTCATATTGCACAAGAACTTAATGATATTCCAAAAACAATTACTCAACATCAACGTCAACAACGTTCGTTACCAATCGAATTGCAAGAATTAATTATTAAATTTTATAATCGAGACGATATTAGTTATTAGTTGGCTGGTGAACGTGATTGTATTACATTTAAAGATAATGATGATAGTTCAACAACATTACAAAAAAGAATTCTGTTATATAGAGTTCTTGAAACATTTTAATTATTTTTAACTGAGTATGTGGATACAAATATTAATTTGTCATTAACTTCATTTAATGATTTAAGACCAATGAACATATTAGTACAATCTTATACGCCTGAGCGTAGTTGTTTATGTATGTACCATGAAAATATGAATTTATTATTAAAACCATTATCAAAATATATTTATTGTCCTGGTTTACATTCACTTCAATAATTTTCGGCAACGCTTGTTTGCAATGAAGAAGCAGAAAATTGTATGTTTAGCCGCTGTGTATCTTGTGCAAATAATTTTAATAATAAAATTTTAAATATTGTTAATGATCCAAAACAACAAATTCAATGGTTTCAATGGATATGTCAGAATGGAAAAATCAAAAAAGTTGAATTTAATGATACTATTGGACAATGTTTAGCAGTTTTGAGAGAAAAACATGGACCATTCTGGGTTCATGTTTTCACTAAACGGAAGCAAGCTGCTTTTTTTTCAAAAAAATGAAAACTATTTCAAATGAAGAACTTATTTGTTTACAAGTTGACTTTAGTGGAAACTTTCGATTAGGAAATCAAGATGCTGTTTCATTATTTACATCACACATTTGGTATTCAGGTGGTG